AATCCAACGAGGTTTTTAGAAATCTATCAACTCCCCTACTATTAGAAGTAAAAACAAAACAAAAACAATGTCACCTCACCGTTCATTTCTCCACAGTGTTTCCGTTTTTGATTCGCTACGTGTGTCAACCAAAATAGAGATATCATATTTGGATCGACATCTATGGAAAAAATCCCGCCTTTTAACTGTATCACTTGCTATCTTTTACTTATACAGATCTATAACAGTTAAGCACTCTGCAAGCTGTTGCCAAATTGTCACCCTATAACAAAGGAATTGATTTTATAATCATTAACTTTTGTGTTACTGTCCTTCTTGGTTACGTAAGCACTTTCCGTAATAGATTTAAGATTTTTCTATGAAACGTACTTTAAATGTATGTAGCTATTTTTTTCCAATGAAAAATGGCCACAGAAGGCAGCATTTTATACGAAAATAACAATATTAGGAAATAATCGATATCTGTCAACTCAGTAAATATTGTGGTAATTGTAAATATAGGAAACAGGCAGATATTGAAATTTTCTCTCCTTTCTTGATGAAAATGAAGTAAGTGAAGCTCATTAGATAAAGAGGATCTTGCGTCGTGGATTTAATTAGCCCAAAGACTACGCTTCGTTTCACATTCACAGAAATTCTACCTCTGATTGGTCATTGTCGGTTAAAGATAATAAAGTGATGCTTGCACCTATAACCCTATCGTCGTACTCCTACAATCGATTGCGCTATACTTATCGACGCACAGTAAGTGTACCGCAGTCGACTCTGGGTATTCGACAATGTCGTCAATATAAAGCTTTAAATTCTAATAGATGCAGTTGAAAACAATATTAGGACAAGGAATGTCACAAAAAGATGCATATTTAACAGTGCTAGATTATTGACAAATGTACTACTCAAACTGATACCATCAGGGACATACTGTGGTTATCATAATAAAAATAGCAAAGACATAATTTAGTGCAATAAAAATCAACAAAAAAATAAATTATTTAAATAGCATACTAGACATACATAGGTTATTGAAAACAATATCATAGATTTGAACGGTTAATTATTGATAAATATCATAGACGTACGGTATTATAATAAACACCAGAAGCGAGTATTGAAGTATTCACAAAACCGTAATTTGAACTCAAAATCAATATATCCTTCTTATAATTAATTGACGACACTGTCGTGTACTTGTAGGTCATATCCAAGTTAGATCAAATCATCCGAGCGAGAACACGATAACGACAACAAAACCACAAGGCACACTGATTAGTAACATCATTGGCCTCACTATGGCACAAGGCACACTGATTAGTAACATCATTGGCCTCACTATGGCACAAGGCACACTGATTAGTAACATCATTGGCCTCACTATGGCACAAGGCACACTGATTAATAACATCATTGGCCTCACTATGGCACAAGGCACACTGATTAGTAACATCATTGGCCTCACTATGGCGCAAGGAAATTAGAAATCAAGTATTGAAATTAGATCACGATGACAGACATTAAACTTACCAATATCTTCATCAGCCTGCATATCAGGAACGGAAATCGAATAAATATAACAAATAACTAATACATAGGCCATAGAATATTTAATACCTCAACAAAAAAGGTCCTTCTGTATAGATTTACCACCTCTGTGTAGATACAGTGTATAATTACCCATAGGTTCTTCTGTTTAGATTTACCACCTCTGTACAGATATAGCTACCCATAGACCCTTCTGTATAAATTGAATATAGAAACACATAGGTCCTTCCTTATCAATTTATTATTATATAGAAACACATAGGTCCTTCCTTATCAATTTATTTTAATAAAGATTCCTTTGTATAGAATCCTCCTATATTCACTCAATGCAAACTTCTTGAATACATATCAATATTGAACAATTAAAACATTTGTAATCGATATAAATTTTGTTTTTACAGATATTCGGAGGATCCCGACTCAATTATTGGCTGAAGTGATATTGTCAACAACACAGTGATAATAAATACAGGACAATTATAAATGTGTACTTGTCTTTTACTTCATTAACATTATTTCACTCGAATATCAAGTGCATCCCAGGGTGGTTTAAGGGTCCCCGTACCACTGCCAAAACTGTATGTATTCGAGACTGTTTTATCGGGTAGGACTAAAGCCTTAATAAATCATTTCTGGAAAGAAAACAATAACTTGGTTGTCTTTTATGAAAATCTGTAAAGATGAAATAAACAACATAATCAACAAAAGTGTTTTGAGTGCAAAACAAACTGCGGGGCCAGACTGAAATTCGAACCATGGACTTTAGGTTGTTGGACATGAACTGTCACTGTAACCGATCGAGCTACTTAGTCAACGGAAGTGTACAAGTCCATAAGTGCTACAGTTGTATTCAAACGAAAGTTATAGGGAGATAACTGCATACAGAAAAACAGCAGTGCAGTGGGACAGGGATCCTAAAATAGAAAAAGTTCGTATCAGGATATATAGACTTGTTCAGTTTTGAGTTCATATTACAAAAAAAAACATGATGATTTATTACAATTTATATCCAGTACAGAGTGAAGATACTCTCAAACAGACTTTAAAAAAATCACGAGATTTGATGTCAATTAATTCTCACAGGGTAGTTATGTGGTTTATCCCATAACAAGTTAGAATTAACAAAATAATTTGGTTTATCCGATCGGAAGAAAATGTAATGTACAGTGAGATGTCATAACACAGGTATGGCGTCACAAAGAATTGTGACGTGATTCCATATAAAATAACGTCACAATGTGCAGTTATCCCAAAATATGAAATAACGTAGAAATGATGGAACATACAGCAGCTATGAGATACAAGTAAGTTCACCACGATTGTTGGCTGGTTATTGTGATCAAATTGTTTACAGACGTGACAATTAGATAAACATCACTAGTTGTTTCCTTCCGAAAGTTTATATAATTTCAAAAAATCTTCATTTATCTAAGCTTTTCCAGTTTCTGACCAGAGAGAAATCTCCTACAATAATAATAATAATTCGAGGTTCTTACGTAGGTCGTCTCAAAGCGGTTCACAAATTATAATCCGTGGTTATATGGCCTTTTCAACCAGCAAATAGTATGAAGGAACCACGAAATTATATTTAGTTAACAAACTAAAGATCTAAGTATCTTCAAACCAAGAAAGAAGGTACCCACGAACAGTTCATGTCATACATTATGAAACATGTCACTTTAATATCTTGTGTTAAATGAAAGATGTCAATCACATATTAATCATCCAGAACGGAAACAGTGCCTTAATGTCGATACCCGTTCGGTTTGAGTCAAGATGAGTCATTATTTAACGTTATTCCTTACAAATAAAACTAATGTGTTATTAACACTTGGATACTCAATATTGACACATTTTCGTAGATTATATGATGCTCAGTGACAAATTGACTTGTCTTTTACCGTTTTCAATCGAGTTTCTATCGTCTGGCTCTCCTTTAAACATAACGCACAAGAACTCTTCTTGTAATATTGCAGTTGCAATAATACATTAAATTTGTATTGCACAATAGTCAAATACCTGTTGTCATTAAAGTATCCCCAAACATGGCATGTTGTCTGTTCCTCATGTTAACAGGGGGTGCACATCAAGTATAATCATTGGTTATATGGTAAAATGAAGTATAATCATTGGTTGTATGGTAAAATGAAGTATAACCATTGGCTATATCGTATAATGAAGTATAACCATTGGCTATATGGTATGATGAAGTATAACCATTGGTTATATGGTATAATGAAGTAAAACCATTGGTTATATGGTATAATGAAGTATAACCATTGGTTATATGGTATAATGAAGTATAACCATTGGCTATATCGTATAATGAAGTATAACCATTGGCTATATGGTATGATGAAGTATAACCATTGGCTATATGGTATAATGAAGTAAAACCATTGGTTATATGGTATAATGAAGTATAACCATTGGGTATATGGTAAAATGAAGTATAACCATTGGTTATATGGTATAATGAGGTATAACCATTGGTTATATGGTATAATGAAGTAAAACCATTGGTTATATGGGATAATGAAGTATAACCATTGGTTATATGGTATAACGAAGTATAACCATTGGTTATATGGTATAATGAAGAATAACCATTGGGGATATGGTAAAATGAAGTATAACCATTGGGTATATGGTAAAATGAAGTATAACCATTGGTTATATGGTATTATGAAGTATAACCATTGGTTATATGGTATAATGAAGTATAATCATTGGTTATATGGTATAAAAAGGATGCATGTACAAAAACCATGGCAACGAAATTAAGACAATTACCTGCTAGTCAAACATGACGTCATATCAAGTCTGTGTCTGCTCTATCTCTCTCAAATATCGTTTTGAAAGAAAGAAAAAATAGATCGGAAAAAAAGTATGAGGGTTTTTTTGGACATGAAGCATTATGAAAAAACTGCAATCTGCTATGAAATAAGCCGTTCTTTCGGTTAGGCGGTCACAAATGCATCCTCTGGCAATGAGGAAGTGGTAAGGTGATGGTCAGATCCAACATTTAAAGGTATACTTGACACATTTAAGTCCAGAATTAAGACAGGATATTGTTGGCGCAATCAGGTTAAACTCTACGATACATTCTAGATAAAACGAGATCCGTTAATCAAGTTTATCCTCCATACATTCAGGTTAAGCACTTAAACAAAATCGCGATATTTTCGATATGTTGAGGAGCATAACTAAGACTTAAACTTAAATACAACGTCGTCTGGCACTAAGAGATATCATTGGTACAATTAGTTTTAGCTCGGAGATATATCTTAAAAACAGCGATGTCCAACACTTATTATTACAATCCCTATTTATTCCCGATACAGCGTTAGCCAGTTCCCCGATATATCGTCGATGGCATAACAATAAATGAATTCTGATAACATGAACACGCTTTATCCAATGAAAGCAGGTTGAGATGTAGATGTTTTTTATAATAACAGATGTGCTGAGTTGCCCTGACGGATTTGAGAGACATGGATACCGCTGTTACAAAGTCTTCGCCTTACACGTCAGCTGGATCGATGCTAAGGTAAGGCCAAAAAAGGAAACATGCAACAACTAACGGTAGAGTTATGTTAACATGATTGTTTGAATGTCATGAAGGTGGTTTAATTACATGTTCCTAACTATTATAGTGCGACTTCATATGTTTTACATTGTTTTATAAGTAATGATAATAAAACATTTTTTAAACATCACTGGAAATACAAAGCAAAGAAGCACCTGTTTAAACATTTATAAAACCAATGCAGAAATTCAAATAAAGTAAACATTTACTGTACAAAATGGTATTGGTATAAAAATATGGCATATGGTGAAGACTAAATCCTTATCTTAAAAATCTTTTTTTTTTATCTTTAAATTGTCATTTGATATGTATGGTCTGTTGGTATTAAGAAAGTAAAATGTTCTTATTAATTTTGGAAAAGAGCATTCGATTACTTCCGAAATGTTTTGGATGAAACAATGAGTTTAAATAGTTTAAGCGTAAACGTTAGAACATTTTAACTAAAGAGACGCTTGCAAAGTTCTAGTCAAAAATAAAGAACAGTCAATCGTCAAATAGAGATATGACTTTCCTTTTCAAAAGAAAGCTCACTATAAACATTAATATGTATGATTATTCCAGCAATACTGTCAGTTATACGGAGCCGACCTTGTGCAAATTGACTCTGCTTTAGAGGAGAGTATTGTTGAAGGAATCGTGAAGAGATTGCATGGTACAGCTATTATTTATTCCTTTTATACATTTCACCTTTTCATTTACCACGATACTTGTTACATACTTTAATCAGACACCGTCAAGTGAAATCGTCGATAAATTGACCTTGTTAATCCATTCTCAAATAACTACTAGTTTTATTTTGGAGTGATACATTTAACCAACGTCACATGACTTTAAAGTTATATATTTAACCCTTATCACATGACTTTAAAGTTATATATTTAACCCTTATCACATGACTCTGAAGTTATATATTTAACCCTTATCACATGACTTTGAAGTTATATATTTAACCCTTATCACATGACTTTAAAGTTATATATTTAACCCTTATCACATGACTTTGACGTAATAAAATGTCGTTTAGCAATCATCACATGACTTGGAAGTGGTGTAATTAGACATCATCACGTGACGTTGGAGTTATACAGTATAATCACACATCATAACAGGACTTCGAAGTGATACAATTTTAGAAACCATCACAGGACTTTAAAGTATTTCAATAAGACACCAATGACTTTGAGTAGAGAGGGGAAAAAGACATCATCATTTTCACGAGGAATTAATTAGCAGGATAAACAGGTTAAAGAACTAGTTTACAGTTACACTGCTTCAGTAACTGATAGAACTAACTAACAGAGAGTTTCGCGTGGTACTGCCTGCTTAGTCACTGGACCAACGTTCAGGTAAAAACAGGACAACTTCCCATATATTCAACAACATGTTTACGCCGTAAACATGTTGATAGCACTGCGCTGCCCCTTGGTCCGTTTTCATGAAACATATTCCGTGCTAAAGCAACTTAAATTGCTTAAATCATGTCAAACAATGAGAAATCAAAATAAATATTTACAACAGTATATAATTTTAAGTCTCTCCAAAATTGTTTTCCAAATCATGGACGAAATCCGAATTTTTCATCAATTAACAACCAGGGCCCGTATTCATGAAACCGTTCTCCTGCTCAAGCATAGTCAGTAGGGAAAACATCAGCAAACACCAGAAAGTTAATCTAACGTGTGACCTAAGGAATGAAAGTTTAACATATCCAACAGGACTCGGAGCGTGTCAAAACGTGCGAAAGCGCCCGGTACAGTACTACAGCTATGGTCTGTGGTTCATTCTGTAACCGAATAGAGGAAAGAAAAGTAGTCCCGTCTCCACCTGAATATCTGTCCAGTGACGAGGCAGGCAGTGCGCCCGCGAAACTGTCTCTTTAGTTGTTTTTAATCACTCTAGTAGTGTAGCAATAAATTTACTCTTACACACCGACATATTGCATTTACATATCATAGACTTTTGAATACTACCATTGTAAATTATTACATAACATAGAAGGGGTGGAAATTAATATTTTCGTATTACATTGAGGTATAATATGCATTTCTATTAGATATTATCACACGAATTTGAAGGTCATTTTGACATTATAGAAAATAATATACGAGTTGATTGTTTAAACAAAACTTTAATGTCTTCTGAGCTCTTTTAGACTTTGAGTGGTAAACTGAAAACTAAAAAAAAAAAAGATAAGCACAGCATGCAATTGATAAGGTTATGAAGTTTGAACTTTATATAATACGCAATACATTTAGAACAAGAATAAATAATTTCAAATCACACTTTTTAAACGTTTCTCTGAAACCACTGAATACGCATTCAAAAAATAATCCACGTGTTTTGATATTGAAACAGGAGCTGTTGGGGAGGAAGTTTACTGGACGGATGGGAGCGACCTTCTAACGGAGGGAGAATGGCGCTGGATTGGACAACCAGGAGAATCCCATTTAATTGATGGTTACACGTAAGACATGATTTTAATATTTATATATCATTATTATATTATTAACGGCGATACATCATGGCCAAGTGTATTTCTATTTCCATAAGCGTAAGTAAATAAATGTGCTAAAAAATGAAAGATCTTTCAATGGGAGGCAAAATAGTTTGTGAAGGCAATAGTTATACAGAATGTGGCATGAGCTATTTAAACGAACGTTGGCCATCGGTTTCTTAGGTAGTAGTGGACAAAAATATAGGACATTGATAACATTGTTTACCTTTTGTAAAAGTAAGATTTAGTTTCGGGATATTTTCTGGGCATTACGAACATATATTACAAAAAGAAATAGATCAAGGATACTTAGCAGCGCTATCATAATACAATTAGATTTGTTTTATTGTATGCATGCATGTTATAAAAGTCATATGTCTAATCATGTCGGCTATCAATGAAAATCACCTTTCCCAATTATATATATCTCACACCTTATAGGTGCAAAATGTTGTATTATACTAAACGGCTTTACATTGAGTTCATCTATATAGTTAAAAATGTGGCAGAATGCACCAATATTATAACAAGTGTTGTTGTTTTTCTCTAAAATGTGTTTTTTGTAAATAATCTCATGTGTTAACAAACGAAGAGTAATGTTTTGAAGAGTACAGTGCAATCAGTTACCATTATTCTGTTAATCTCGAAAGAGAAATCACTTTACACAAATATTGACATAAAGAATGTTTCTCTAATATACCGTATATAATATTTTTTTCAAATAACCATTTTATATAAAAAAAATTATAGAAGTTGCTTAATTATCGGCAAGAATAAAATTATGATTTTTTTAATGAACTTTGATAGAAATGCTGCTCAATGCAATTTATATTGTGTAAGGTTTTTTTGTATTCGTCTTTGATATCATATGCAGTGTTGACGTGCAGATGTAATTCCCGGAACAGCATAACGTCAACCAAATGTTTGCTCCTTACAGGCCGGAGAGGTAGCATTAAAATAACACAGATATCAATAGGTTATAATATCCCATAAACTCTTTTCACTTCTTAAAGTATATATGAGTTTTTCCCGTTCTTTTCTAATTCGCCCGACACTTGAAATTCGTGTTCTATGAATGCAAGTTTTGCTAATATTTGTTCGCAAATGCATAACATTACAAACGCGATAATTATCCCCTGACTTGCATATAATGTAACACTTTCAAGAAGCTGGAGTTGTGAGATCTTTGGAATTCTATTTTCTGACAGACATTGGCACCCTGGTCAGCCGGACAACGCCAACGCAGAAAACTGTCTGGAAATACGAGCCGCATTCGGATTTGATTGGAATGATCACCAATGCTACGATAAAAAGAATTTCATTTGCGAAGCTCCGTAAGTTGTCTCCCTTTGCTAACCATTAGGGTAATACATGGGACCTATATATATAAATGCACATGTGTTCTCATGCAAATCCAAATCAAATACCAGTCATTAGGAAAGCAGTTGGATATGTCGTTGTGTGTAAAAGATCGCAACGATAAAGATATAAATGATTTCAATCAAATTTATATCATTTGATAATTATTTCTGAGATTTTTTTTATCGTATGATATACTAAGTAAATAATTGAGCAAACTAACCTGTTTTGTCTAAAGATGAAGAAAAAAAATAAAACACCCTTAATTAGCTCTTATCTCTGAATATATACGACGTTATCTACGACGTTATCTTATTTTGAATTTTGATGTTATACTGTGCACTATTAGCATAGCGTTCAGTTAATGACAGCCAGATCCTAAAAAAATGAAAGATCTTTCAATGGGAAGCAAAATAATTTGTGAAGGCAATAGTTATACAGAATGTGGCATGAGATATTTAAACGAACGTTGGCCATCGGTTTCTTAGGTAGTAGTGGACACAAATATAGGACACTGACAACATTTGTTTACCTTTTGTAAAATGGGTTAACAAGTGCTTAAATAGTGATTAAAGAAAACGTTCAGTTTTATAAATACGTGGAACTATTTCTTTGCAACTTAACAAAATTCTGTACCTTGTAACTAAATATGAAGGAAAGAAATGATTTTTTAAAAGTATCCACGTTTGGCGCTATGGATTGTCTATGAACATGTATGATTAGGATTTGATATTAAGTTAATCAAAATCTTAGCTTCAATGTACCTTGATATGCAAAGTGCTTGTGTATATAATGGTTTTGTCACTGTGGTTCCTTATGGCGAAAGGTACTAGGCACGGTAGTATATTATCACCATGGTTGTAGAAAGTATTTATCAACGATCAATGGAAGAATTATGCAATTCAAACGCATCGCAAATGATAGAAGATGTTAACGTTACTTGTCCGACACAGGCTGACGATATTGCACTTTTGTCTTATACCAAGTGTAATCTAGATGTTTTGATGAATATATGTTACAGATATAGTTGTAAATGGAGGTTTAAGGACAACGCCTCAACAACAAATATTGTAGTTTTTAATTAATCTAATGGATCCTCACGTAACTGGCGTGTGGGTGAGAAGGAGTCTGAACTTACCACACATATTGGAACATTTTCTAGACCAATTTAAATTTGGTCGTCCAGTTATTGAAAATGTTCTTCACAAGTTTAGAAGTTTCTCGTTTTTAAATGGAGGGTTTATAAGGAAGTCGATAAACCCTCTCATTGGTCTGAAGCTGTTTCGCTGTGCAACTCTTCTGTGCAGTTTATTTGGCTCGGAATTGTAATTTTCATTAAGTGTGAAGGATTAGTCACGGCTTGAAATAATTCAACATTATTGTACCAAAATCATTCAGTGTTTTCCCTTCAGGACACGTTCTGACATGGCATTTGGTATGTTGGGGCTTACGTCACTGAAGGCGAAAGTAGTGCAGTCTAAACTTCAATTATATGGTTCTTTATGTCGTCTGAGATCTTCAGCTGCTGTAAAACGGCTATTTTTATTACGGTTGTACCAGAAACACCTGTGCGTTCATTAAAGTACCAAAGGTGTCATTTATGACATCTGGATCATTATTTTGAAATACGGTCTGGAAGAGTACTTTAACTCTTTCTTGGAAGAGGCTCCTTTCCCTTCCAAACAGTCCTGTATTTTTTTGGTTAAAAATGCTATTTATTCAAAAGAACAATCAGAATGGTATGAGACCCTCAACAATTATGACGATTTTTGTCGATTCCAATATTTACATGGAACACTTCTTTCGTCGTCTCTTTGGTTTCTGTGGAAACAGTTATTTTCTTTTCAATTTTATATTTGCAGTAGAGTAGCGAATTTGTGGTTAACAAGCCAAAACTGTGAGCTGTTATGTGCTAAATGTAAAACAATGTCTCAGGATGCTCCAGCTCATTGCTTCGGTTACCTTCTGTGACGAACTATTCACTAATGTTGTAAACAATTATCCGGTTGAGTTGTACGTCAAACTGGATAAATTAGATAGACAGGAAAGTGTTTGTATCCTGTTAGAGCACATTCCTGATAATATACGGGAACTATTCCCGGATGACGAGTGCTGCACTAGGTTTGCATACGAGTGCTGTCGTTTTTATGTCAAAGCTGCTGAATTCACTTTCCAGTAAATATGTATATATATGTATTTACATGACTTTGGACAATTCAAATTGAATTTGTTTCAATCATGTATATATTCTTTCCCCTTCTTATTTTTCCTGTTTCATGTATTTTTCCACATTGACGCCTTGACTTAGTACGATCAATATATGTCATTTATGACACCATTGATATGCCTGTAGTTCATTGATATCAACTTATTTCTAGTTCTGCGTCTACATATCGTTGCATTTTTGTATGTACTATTCATTTATGGAGGAATGAAGTTAAAGAAGAAGAAGTAGTTGTGATGTTAAGGGCAAAATAGCTGGAAACCTAAATTCTCTAAACTACCGTTGATACAGTTTATGTATTTCAAAATTTTAAGGAGTCCTAATTCATTTCAAATTAAATGTGTAAAGTGTGTTTCTTATGAACTTATGACCGTGTCGCTACTCAAAAGAGTGTAGCAATCAGGGTTACAGCAACCCCCTGGGACTAACTGTAATCCACCAGCAGAGTCTACCACCTTGTAAAAGGACCTATATTAAAAAGATATTGAAGTGCCGTGTTATGGTCCTTTTTTATTTACCTTACCTTTTCATCATTCTCTTAGCTAGTATCCAGGTAACTAGTAATCCAAAGCTTACACATTGTGAGTCACCAATAGTAGCAGGTCTGATAGTGTCTTCCTTATTCTATCACTCCAAGTGTAAACGTACCATCAGATAGCGAAAAACTGTATCAATAAAATAGAGCTACCTGCGAAAGAAAGTAACCAAGGATATATGATCAGCCGCTCCTGAACGGTCTGGGGAATATCAAATTAGCTCCAGTTCAGTTCAAGTTTATTGTGTTTTGTTTCTCATCTTCCGGCTCGTTATAATAATCCCTCCAGTCTCATCACTCTGAGTGTGTTCTCTCTGAGTGTCAACTATCGGACTCTCCACTCTCTATCTATAAATTCTACTTACAAATTCAGAAGGTATCTAACTATAATTTCTATTTGTCAACTATTAAATAAGGGTGGGACTTATCCTCATGAGATTGACAGCTAACAGGTGGTCAAATGTAAGCTTCAGTCTGTTTAATTACATTTAATGATTCACACCTCCCTTGCTCTTTTCACTATTATAAAGTTAGCTACCTGTCCTTTCATCATCAACACCAACAATCCTACATTCTCCCACGATAACACCTTGTCCTCAACAGTCTGTCTTTCATTCTTTAACTTTCATCTGACATCAATTCAATTTCTTTCTCTTACATCAATTCCGACAATTTCTCCCGCTTGTCATGTTTTTAATCATATAACAGATTGTCCACCAATTCTTCTATACCCTACTGTATGTACAATTCGTATCCTACGGACATACCTCCATTAGGATCCAGTGTTATATGGGATTTTATCGTTTATATTATTTCTTTGACCCACTACTGTATATAGATATATAGATAGAATAGATATTTAATTTTAAATAAGAATTCCATTTACTGGCCTTAATAAGGGGAATGTTTTATACAAGTTCTAAGCTTGTTAACCGATGTGTATGTATGTATTTTAAATGTTCACTTTTTTGTTGATTTCAGATACGGAACCGATCAGACTGAGATCATTGGTTAGATCACTGATGTTCACAGATCCAGTACAACACGGTTCTTCTTTGTATTTTATTGCTGTAAAACATGCAAATCAATTAAACCATATATATATATATATATGTAACCGTTACACATAGTGTGACGAAATCATTTTTTTGCCATTTTATTATTAGAACTCTACACAATTTTGTTTCAAATGAAGTCAATTCCGTCTTTGCGTATTGCAGAGTTATCTTCTCTTGTGAACTTGTGAAGGTATTGATTGTTACGTCATTGGTTTGTGTGATAAATTTACGTCGTTTTCTCACACAAACCAATGACGTAACTCTCACAAACAAATGACGTAACAATCAATACCTGCTCACAAGAGCAAATAACTCTGCAATACTCAAAAACGGAATAGCAGGGGAAGTGCACTTGTAGTATAGAACTCATGCCAATTCAGGGAAAGAACAGGACTGCTACATCCCACTACATGATCGTTTGAGGCGACTGATGTGCCCCCTCCTGTAGAATCCTCCCTGTCTACTGTTTAGGGGACGTTGAAGAAACCAAGAAAATACCTGCTGTATCCCACTGTATGTGTATTATAAAAGGCGACTGATGTGCACAATCGGGGTTTTTAACGTGTCTGCTACAAAGGGGACACAAAAGAGGCCAACATTGATCTGCTGTATTCATTGCCACACTTAGGATATTTTTCGTTTCCCATTTTTCCTGTCTTCTTTCTTTTCTATATACATTATTGTCATGCAGTGTCTCCCTAGGCAACCGTCCTTATATGATCCTGGCTGTTGTGTCTCCCTAGGCAACCGTCCTTATATGGTCCTGGCTGTTGTGTCTCCTAAGGCAACCGTCCTTATATGGTCCTGACTGTTGTGTCTCCCTAGGCAACCGTCCTTATATGGTCCTGGCTGTTGTGTCTCCCTAGGCAACCGTCCTTATATGGTCCTGGCTGTTGTGTCTCCCTAGGCAACCGTCCTTATATGGTCCTGACTGTTGTGTCTCCCTAGGCAACCGTCCTTATATGGTCCTGGCTGTTGTGTCTCCCTAGGCAACCGTCCTTATATGGTCCTGGCTGTTGTGTCTCCCTAGGCAACCGTCCTTATATGGTTCTGGCTGTTGCGAGGACGTTAAACTCCAAAGAAACAAACGAATCTCTTGTGTGTCCATATTTTTAATAAGCCTACCTCGATATGTAGCAATGGTTTTTAACGCGTCTTAAGGTATTTTATTTCTAATTTCCATCAATAATACACAAAATTCGGATAATCTTAATATTAATCAAAATATTATTCAAGGCCTATTGGTTAGGAATGAAATCCTACTGCTGTATTCATTTCGGTGAAATTGGACATGAGTAATCTCAGAAAAAAAAACAAATAAAATCGATGATTTATCATAACAAAAGAAGGTATCACGAACTCCAGACAATAAGAAACCACGCACTTCGTGTCAACTACAACGTCATGGAGAAGATGGAAAAATAATGGTCTAAACAAAACCACGGCTATTGAATAAACCTCCACTATCAGTCAATACACAGCTTCATCGAAGTGTGCACAAAACTACCAAGAACTCGGCAAATAGATATTATTATTATTGTATGTCATTTTCTCTTTGGCAAAAATTTTGCTGGTAAGTATAGGTGTTACAAAGCGACCCACAATCAATTTAATAAAACAATTTAGAAAAGTATACATCAAAACAATGTTTATTCCGAAAATGAATGAAATTGTGACTATTCAACACTTATGTGGCATTTTAATTATCTTTCCAATGGTTAAAAGTAATTGCCCATGAACTATGTTACCCTCTTGCTTGTTACAGTGTTAATCTGAATTTGCCATTAAACAGTAATGTTTTTATTTTTTACCATTACATTTTATGTGACGGGAAAGCCTAACAGAATTCGGGTACCATGAAATTTTCACATTAAAGAATATCTTAATGGATCAGTTTTCCAGTCTGTTGAATTGTAGAGAAGCTGTTTTGGAGATTTGAACAACACACTTCTCCGAGTGTCAAAATATTATTTTATTCTATTTTATATTTTAATTTCCGTGTAGGGCAGTCTGTTTTGATAGGAATATGAGTCTTTTTCTTACAATAGGTTGTTCGTAAATAATACTCCAAGCGATACCGCATGCAGAACTATCAATGGTTCATAATTTTACACAAATTAGAATCCTAGTTATTTTCTCAGAAAGAAATATAAAATTAGTTAAACTTATAGTACATGCGTCACATAGCAACCTCTGTAAAAAGGCACTGTCAAACAAAGCAGTATTAATTGTTACCACAAGATACGATAGCTGTTAGCATTACTCAATCAAACTGATATAAAAATAAAATATCTAACTTACGAAAGACTAAGATTTTAAAATGGTGGGCGCCACGATCCTACAGGAATCTGATATCTTACTACGACTACTTATAATGAGTTTTGGAGCTACAAAGCAGTCTCTTTAAAACAGGCCGTTACAGACATGGTCAGTAAAAAGACTTCCTCCCGTTCTAATCACTAGCAGCTGATAAAGCATCGATATGTCACACGATCAGTAATACATAGTAATGTCGAGCTGTAATAAAACAACTCATGTCTGTGAACAAAGCTCTTAAAACAGGAAATCACAAGCGATGTAATAAATAATGACACATTATTAAGTGAAATGGTTAAATTCAGTGCTATAAAGTATTATCTGATTATAAAATACGAATCACATGCGACAAAAAGATATATGGTTAACTTTTACCTCCCGGACAGAATTGCTCGTGAAGGAACACCTATTTTACCTGTTTGTCCATAGGTCTTTACGTCATTGACACATCGATCTGTGATCTACTAATGAACGTTACTAAAACCAGACGTGCCCGTCCGACGCAGATCACGTACAAACTTGCTACTGTTGTCGCAGAATATAAGACGCACTTTTCTTCTGACACCAAACACGTGTAACTGAAGTAGCCGGATAAAAAGCGCAGTTCTCTACTGATACAGAGTGTATAACTGTAGTACCAAGATATAATACGTGTATCTCTCCGGATACAGAGAGGGTGTATAACTGTAGTGGCAGAATAAAAGACGTGCCTCTCTCCTGATACAGAGGGTGTATGATTGTAGTGCCCGGATATAAGACGTGCCTCTCTCCTGACAGAGAGGGTGTAAAACTGTAGTACCAAGATATAAGACGTGTCTGTACGGATACAGAGGGTGTTTAACTGTAGTGCCCGGATATAAGGCGTGCCCGTCTCCTGACAGAGAGGGTGTAAAACTGTAGTACCAAGATAAAAGACGTGCCTCTATCCTGATACAGAGGGTGTATGACTGTAGTGCCCGGATATAAGACGTGCCTCTCTCCGGACAGAGAGGGTGTAAAACTGTAGTCCCAAGATAAAAGACGTGCCTCTCTCCTGATACAGAGGGTGTATAACTATAGTGCCCGGATATAAGGCATGCCTCTCTCCTGACAGAGAGGTTGTACAACTGTGGTACCCATATAAGTCGTGCCTCTCTACGGATACAGTGGGTGTGTAACTGTACGTAGTGCCCGGATATAAGACCTACCTCTCTCCTGACACGATGGATATGAGTTTATAATATATACTGCTCTGCTGATAGTGAAGGTATGTAACTCTCTGACACAGAGAATGTATAACTGTAGTGCCCGAATATAACACGTGCCTTTCTCCTGACACAAAGGTGTATATCTGTAGTGTCTGGATATAAGACGTGCCTTTCCCCTGACATAAGGAATGTATATCTGTATTGCAAGGATATAAGACGTGCTATCTGTAGTGCCTAGATATAAGACGTGCTTTTCTCCTAACCCAGAGGTGCATACCTGTGGGATCAAGTTATTACCTTGAAGATATAATATTGATCACACTAAAAGTTAAGGTAATATAATTCTGCTGTATATTTCAGCAGCATAATAAACATTTCTGAGACATCTAGGACTCTGTCTCATTCCCAATAATGATTGTAACGGCGGAGTTGGTGTACGTTTGCGTTCTGTGTGTGGCCGGGCTGGTAACTGTAACGGGAAATGGCGTTCTTGTATACCTCATGTGCTCTAAGCGAAGCCTTAGGAACGCTAGCAACTTCTATATGGCGTCCATGTCTATCGCCGACACTGGCGTCGGCCTGTTTGTCCCCGCCGCCATTGTTGTAACCATCATGGACATACCGCTACCAGTCGGCTGGGGTTATTTCTCCCCATATTTCGAACTCGCCACTCTGTCAGCCGGCATTTTCTCGTTCCTTCTTATCTCCTACGATCGGCATCTTGCTGTATCTAAGGCGTTGACGTACCATGCGACAAAACGGTCGGCGTTGACGTCATTGGCGGCGGTGTGGGTTTCAGCATTTATCTACAGTTTACGCATATTTATACAGTACGAAGTCGCCAAAATATTAAAACGGGATTTGCCTCCGTTGGACGGAGACGACGATAACATAACAGAAACTTCAAACGACGACGACGAAGTCGAAGGTGGATTTTGCAATGTATTAGTGGAGGAAGATTATAATGATTTAATCTTCAGATGTGTCGATTTTGTCATTCTTTTCATTATTCCTATAGTCTGTATGAGTTATTGGTATAAAGGAATAATAAGTAACCTATGGGCTGGGAACATTACAACTACGTCTCACGTGCGGAGGAAGAGGAGAGTAATCAAACTCCTCATCATCAATGTGGTGGTATTTTTCGTCTGTTGGATACCTTTTTATTTGTCCGATATCATCAGTGACACGCACGTGCTGGTGATGAGGCTAAAAGACCCCGAGTATGACGAGGAGGCTAGTTCAAAGGAGATCCGACTCTGTCTCATCTTCATTGCAATATCTCATAGTTATTTAAACCCGATCATCTTTTTATCTTTCCATGCTGATTTTAAAGCCGAATTGACGTCGACCGTCATCTGTAAATGCGCCTGGGCCAGGCGCACGCGCACTGTCGAACCGACGGATCAGACATTGCGCACTGCGGACCAGGCAGATGAGGGCCTACGCACTATAAGCTGAGAGGACTCTTAACTAAGTGAACCAATTAATCAGTACATGACAGTAGTGCTAATTACTGGCGTCTTATATGGAAGAATTGCAGCGAGGTAGACATTGCTAGGAAAACATTACAATTTGTGTAGGGCACGATTCTAGTTTTTCAATACATTTGTTTTTAAAAGTAAATGTGTCCTCATGACCCCCAACTCTGGAAGTCAGTCATTCAAAACAGTCCCGTATTGGGTTCATATGGGATATTCGTAAAAGAAATTGGAAATTTTTCACAAAATAAAATCTATCAAACTAAAAAAAAAATCAATCGTAAATAACCCTTTTTCATTTTGTTTGAGAAGTGATCGTGCGACATCAAATATTTCTATTCATTTGTTTTTAGTTAAGCGGCTACCAAATCGAACTGATTCCAAACAATGCAAACAACACAACAGTAATGCTACTCTGCAGGATGATGATATGTGAAAGCGTCGTTTAATTGATGTAAGAAGTCACAGAAAGTGATCGTGATCATAGACGTAGTGCTGGAGTTGTTTGTTTTTTTTGTTTTTTATTTAACGCCCTTTTAACAGCTAAGGTCATTTAAGGACGTGCCTTCGTGTGTGTTGTGTATCCTTGCATGTGCGTGTTTGTCCCGAAGACAGTGTAGGTTGTTATACATACATATTTGTGATAGTAAGGATCTAATGCCGACTTTATAGTGCTATCTCACTGGAATACCATGTCGAAGTCACCCAGCACAGCATTCCGCCCGGACACATTATTCTGACAACGGGTGAACCAGTTGTTGCCAGTACTCTCAATGCTGAACGTGAAGGGGGATAACAACTTCCATTTTTAAGGGCTTTGGTATGTCCCGGTATTCTGTGGAAACCATAAATTTAGTTTCAAAAAATCACTTTGTTAAAACAAACAGATATCGTCATTTTATAAGATAGTCCTATGTAGCAAATCCGCATTTCCACCTTTTGATGAGCGATATATCGTAAAACACATACAAGGTTTGATGAAGGAGGTAGAAACTTAGAAAGTCCTTGTAGATGGACATACGTTGTCGCGGTGTAAAATTATGTACTTAAGTGATTATATTTAAGAGTAAAAACATCCATAGATCATTCTTACATGTACTAACATTAAGGTAAATAATGTTTTTTGAGCATATTTACATCTATATTTAATGAAACACAAGCCAATTGAAATTACTCGGGGTTATCCTTGGTAAACCATTTCCTGAGTTTTGCCCTTGTGTACAAATTGTCTATTTCCTTTTTAATATTTGTCCACTCGGACAACGATGGTCGTTTTTATAGTAAACCGTTCAGTTTGTGCTACGTACTAGAACAATGGTCGTTTTAAAAAGTTGACTATTTTATTTGTATTACTTCGTAATATAATGAGTTTTCATGGTTAACGTACGACTTTGTGTCCCTCGTAAAAATAATGGTCGTTTAATTTAACATGTGCCATTTGTTGCTTTGTAATTTTTTCAAAATAAACGTTTTAGTTTGCGTCCAATTGATATTTATTGTTTGTCCCCATTAACAATGATGATTGTTTTCATTGGAAACCTCTACATTTGTTCCTGTTCATGAAAGTATATTCGTTGTTATGGTAAACGTTTTAATTTGTTTCCGTTCGTGAAAAAATATTTCTTGCTTTCGGAGTAAGCCGTTCACGGAGTGTAATTTGGCAGCAAGAGACGAGCGAGTGTCCACGGCCAGTTTCACTAACTTGCATGTTCGTATTCCCATGCCTAGTAATACTATATATGGTTATGGGGTAGGGATTTCAATCTTTTAAAAGTTGTGACCAAATGACTAAGACTTTCACACCCAACATTTATATTATTGTTGTGATGTTTTAAAAATAAAACCCAGGGACTAAGTATCTACGGGAGGGGCTGGACACTGGCGCCAACCCTAGTAGCATATGTGCATGTTGTGACCTACAGGCCAATTTTCCAACCAAAGGTCAGACAAGCCGACAGAGGTTCCATTCTTCGATTGGACGTGAAAAGGACCAAGTCACCTGCCCGACCACGTGGGTTTTCTCCGGCTACTTCTATTTTCTCCCTCATTATTGCCCCCTTCGCACTCCAAACCGGGCTAACAACAGTGGTGAATATTAGTTAGAACCTGTTTTATAATTATTGTAAGATAACAAGGCGTTATTTCTCCTTCTGAAAGTCGTTAATTCCACTCATGTAGACCATTCACCATCAGGTTAAAAAGGATCAATTTAATAAAATCGCTTTTGTGAAACGAGAACAGTTCCTATTCCGTATATGGCATTTGCGAGGATGTCCCTACCCAACATTAGACAAGACAGCATTTGTTCACTATACAATAAACGTTTTACACCCAATGAGTTACCAACACTTCAGTACCGACCACAGCACTGCCTGACATCGGGCATTACATTAACATCACGTCAATATTCTCCCTTGAAGTTGTATTGAAACTGATGCACATTGCGGTGTAAAAGGAAAATGGCAATACAGACTTATTTCAGATATTCCCTCGGTGTAGTTGTTTTAACGTTTTCCAATGAAGGAAGCATGGTCATTGTTTCTCATATATCTGTAAAAAAATCCAAAATTCAGATAGTCGTTTAAAGAATGTACACACAGCATGAAGTTCACTAGTGCATTTTCGGTATAATAGAGTATTGCCGTGTTTTATTGCAATCAGGCATCGTATTCATGTCAATATTTCCTCCGTTGTGGACTCTCGTTTAAGCGACATTGTTGGCGATGCTCGAACATGATGTCATCCTGTCAATATTTGCCGGATCTAATCGAAGTTTAGTTCAGTTAAGGTAATAAATGTCCTTCTTACATCATAGACTGATATCGTTAATAGTACATGGAAATAAAAGCTACACAGCACAGGCATCCATTGTAGACATCGTGTCCGCCTTTGAAAGATTACTCGATCGTAATGACATAATTATCTACGTTATACACACTAATTACATACATGGAAGTAAACGAGGGTTTAAAATAGGACCACTGAACTAATTAATGAGTGTAATCTGTTTTGACTTATGTATAAGACACACTATCATAAATACTGTGGTTGCATGACAGAGAGAACAGGAGGCCCAATGGGCCTGAATCGCTCACCTGGTATTAATCTCACACTTGTAATCTTAAAAGTGGACTAAACTACAACTACAGGCAGAATATCAGTGTTTGATTCATAAGAACCTATTAAAAGATTAAAACATATGACGCCAGTGACCTTGAATGTCGAACAAGGACATTAGGGTGAAAAGAGTTTATAGTCTTCAAACCCAGCATGCTTCTAGCAAAATATCATTACCCTGTACCTTTTGGTTATGCAGAACAAATCATTTATAGATTAAAACATATATTGACCACTTTGACCTTGAATATGGGCGCAGGTCATTTATTTGAACAAACTTGATAGCCCTTTATCCCAGCATATTAATGGCCAAATATCATCACCCTAGGCCTCTGGGTTATTCAGAAGAAGTTGTTTAAAGGCTTTAAACATATTTGATCCTGTGACCTTGAACATATGTCAAGGTCATTCATTTGAACAAACTTGGTAGCCCTTCATCCCAGCATGTTACTGGCCAAATATCATCACCCTTGCTGTATCGGTTATTCAGAAGAAGTTGTTTAAAGGTTTTAAACATATTTCGTCCTGTGACCTTGAACATATGTCAAAGTCATTTATTTGAACAAACTTGGTAGCCCTCTATTACAGCATGCTACTGGTCAAATAGCATCATCCTAGGCCTCTTGGTTATTGAGAAGAAGTTGTTTAAAGGTTTTAAACATATTTGACCCCTGTGACCTTGAATATAGGTAAAAGTCATTCATTTTACAAAACTTAGTAACTTTTTATCCTAGCATGTTACTTGCCAATTATCATTATCCTAGGTCTCTAACTTATTCAGAAGAAGTTGTTTAAGACAATTGACCCCTGTGACCTTGAAAATTGGTGAAGGTCATTTATTTGAACAAACTTAGTAGCCCTTAATATCAGCATGCCATTGGCCAAATATCATCACCCTGGGAATTTAGGTTATTCAGAAGAAGATGTTTAAAAATTTTAACATTTTTGACCCCTGTGACCTTGAATATAGGTAAAGGTCATTTATTTGAACAAACTTGGTAGCCCTTCATTCCAGCATGTTACTGGCTAAATATCATCACCCTAGGCTTCTCGGTTTTTCAGAAGAAGTTGTTTTAATGTTTTTAACATATTTGACCCCTGTGATCTGGAATATAGGTGACGGTCATTTATTTGAACAAACTTGGTAGTCCTTCATCCCAGCATGTTACTGGCTAAATATCATCACCCTAGGCTTCTCGGTTTTTCAGAAGAAGTTGTTTTAATGTTTTTAACATGTTTGACCCCAGTGATCATGAATATGATTTAAAGTCATTTATTTGAACAAACTTGGTAGCCCTTCATCCAAGCATGTTAGTGGCCAAATATCATCATCCTAGGCCTCTTGGTTATTTAGGAGAAGTTGTTTAAATGTTTTTAACATTTTTGACCCCTGTGACCTTGAATATAGGTGAAGGTTATTTATTTGAACAAACTTGGTAGGCCTCTATTACAGCATGCTACTGGTCAAATAGCATCATCCTAGGCCTCTTGGTTATTGAGAAGAAGTTGTTTAAAGGTTTTAAACATATTTGACCCCTGTGACCTTGAATATAGGTAAAAGTCATTCATTTTTACAAAACTTAGTAACTTTTTATCCTAGCATGTTACTGGCCAATTATCATTATCCTAGGTCTCTAACTTATTCAGAAGAAGTTGTTTAAGACAATTGACCCCTGTAACCTTGAAAGTTGGTGAAGGTCATTTATTTGAACAAACTTGGTAGCCCTTAATATCAGCATGCTACTGGCCAAATATCATCACCCTGGGAATTTAGGTTATTCAGAAGAAGATGTTTAAAAATTTTAACATATTTGACCCCTGTGACCTTGAAAATAGGTGAAGGTCATTTATTTGACCAAACTT